TAAAAGGGCAACTAAATCTACAGAGTCAATGCAATCCCTATCAAAACCCCAATGGCCTTTTTGTTTGCAGAAATGGAAATGGAAATCTTAAAATGTATATAAAACTACAAGAAACTTTGAAAAGCCAAAACTATCTTTCAAATAAAACACTGAAGGACTCACATTTTCTGATTTTAAAACAAAACAGACAGCTTTAATAATGAAAACAGGATGGCATTGGGGCTGATCAATGGAATAGAATTGAGAATCCAGAAATAAACCCATAAATTTATGGTCCACTGATTTTCTATAAGGATAAAAAGACCATTTAATGGGGGGAAAAAATCATGTTTTCAACAAATGGTACTGGGGCAACAAGATAGCCACATGAATAAGAATGAAGTTGGGCCACTTACAAACAACATATAAAAAAGTTAACTCAAAATGGATCAATGACCTAGGTGTAACAGCTAAAATTTAAAATTCTGAGAAGAAAATAAGAGTGTATCTCGTGGCTGGCCAGTTAGCTCAGTTGGTTAGAGGGTGGTGTTAAAACATGTTGAAAACATTATGCAAAGTCAAAGAGGACAGACACGAAAACCCCCAGGAGTTCATTTTCTTTCTTTTTTTTTTTTTCTTTCAAAAGATGACCGGTAAGGGGATCTTAACCCTTGACTTGGTGTTGTCAGCACCACGCTCACCCAGTGAGCTAACCGGCCATCCCTATATGGGATCCGAACCCACAGCCCTGGTGCTATCAGCACCGTACTCTCCCGAGTGAGTCACCAGCCGGCCCAGGAGTTCATTTTCTTATGTAGATATCACATGTGTTGGGCGTCTCCGGTGGCTGCACGGGACCCCAACAGGTTTTTCCTTTCCCTAGAGGGTTGGGGCCAAAGGGATTGCCCTTTTCTCCCCCCCAGGACGTGGGGCAAAAAGAGATTCCAAGAGATGGGTGAGCACACAGCTGCTCTCCCAGATAGGGAACAAACACATACACACGCAGCGGGGGTTCTGTCAGGCAGTTCCGTTTATTGTAACACAAAAGATCATATTTACATGCCTAGCAGGAGGGGATTTCCAAGCTTAGGCCAATCCTTGAAAAGGTCAAATGTGCATGTGCCTTTCCTCTCTATGCTTAGCCCTCCCCCTTAACTTCCCTTGGGTGCCACCTTTTATCCGTTTAGGCCATCTGTTGTTTTTGCTTAGAAAAAGGGCACGGTTCCATAAACATGCTCAGTGTACTTTGGTGGAAGTCATTTGAAAATGATGCTGTAGAGTGTGGGAAGATATTGAAGCATTTTACAATTTGGGGAAGGTGGGTTTGAGGAGAGGAAAGTGGGTGGTCACGGTAACTTGGTTTTTGCTTTAGTATGCTTCCCCTTGCAGACACTTTGTTCTACTGAGGTGCAATGAAAAGAGCAATCATACTTTGGAGGTGCAATGAAAATGCAGCCTTTTGGGGAGAGCAATTTTTGCAAATGTGTCCAGAGCCTGAGACATATTCCCCTGAGAGCTGCACTTCTACAGAATCACTGACAGCACAGACCCCGGGGCCTGGGGCTCCGAACGGGTCATTCTGCGCTCGCAGGGTTCAGCGCCCCCTCGGGGGCTCAAAATACCCATAGTGCTGAGATCAAGAAACCCTGGACTAGGTTAATGGTAGTGAAGATGGGGATAACTGGATGGATTTTAAAATATATACATATTAAGTTGAACTGATAGGTCATATATGGTAATGAGGCAAAGGGAGAAATCAGAATGATGGAGGATATGGACAGATGTTGGTACCTTGTAGCACTGATGCTTAGACACTGGAAAAGGAGGAATACCCAGTTCTGTCTGGAGCATTTTAAGTCTGGGTTGCCCATTATAAACTCCTGAGTAGATGTCAAACAGACAGGGAAGGGTCAGGGCTGAAATCTAATTTTACGAGTCATCAGCATGTTTCTCTGTTGTGGTGGTGGTGGTGGTGGTGGTGATGTGTTTTCATGATGATTTATTTTGGTTTTTTAATTTTTTATTTAAAAGAAACTGTATATTCACAGGAGGTTGCAAAGAAATGTACAGGTAGGTCCCGTGCACCTCCCCCACCCTCCCCCAATGTTAGCATCTGACACAAGCAGAGTGCGATGTGAAAGTCAGAGAATCCACATTGCTGGCTTGTGTTTTCACAGAGTTGAAATAGGACATACAGGAAAGAGTGCATTTTAACATTGAGAGTTCAGGGACAGAGGAGGAACCGTTAAAGGAGACAAGGAAGAGTGTCTAGAGAGGTAGGAGGAAAGCCAGGGAAGCTAGATGTCCCCGGTGCACAACATGCAGTAGGATCCAGCAGGTGCTTTCCCCTAGAATATGTGGATGGTGCCCACAGATGGGTACAAGATGACAGCTCTGGGTGTCCCAGAAGCCAAACTGTGAAGTGCTTCAAGAAAAAACAGTGAGGATTGACTTTGCCTAATGCTGCTGAGAGGGAGGCATCCAAGTGACATGAGGATAGAAATTGTCTATGGATTTCAGCAATTTGGAGGTCTTTGGTGATCTTGACAAGAACTGTCTGAGTGATGTTTGATGTGGTAGGAATGGAAGCAAGATTGGACTAGAATGAAGAGTAAGTAAAGGACAGGTTCTTGTAGAAATATTCCTGGGAAGAGAAGAAGAGAGAACTCTCAAGGATGCAGGGAAAGAGGAGGAGGAGCTGACGGTCTCGTGGCAGCTGCTTTCAGAAGGGGGACGTGTTGGTGCACAGATGGGCCACTGAAGGGACCTGTACCATACTCTGTCCACCTCTTCTTTCAAGCCCAGCTCTGCTCCAGGTTGGCTGTGCACATAGGACCTGCCAGACCCCAAGCTGCCCTCGCCTGGTGCTGGAGACCGTGGACTACCCACACTCACACCTTGGGGATCAGATCTGAGGATCAAAGGGAGATCTAATCCCCATGGAGGTCGCACTCTCAGGTGGGGGGTGTGAGGCCTCTGGGACAGCCTGGAGGGCCCAGGAGATGGGATTGGCATCTTCCAGCCGCAGTGTGGCAGAGGGTCATCTCTCCCTTCTCCAGCACATGGGGCAGCACGGAATAGTGGTGTGGAGAAAGCAACAGAAGGACTGGACATTGCCACTCTCCCGGATCCTGCCCAGCTAGTCCCGTAGCTATACAGAAATGACAAAGGCAGAGGTAGGAGTGGACCTAGGCTTCAGGGACCTCAGCCTTCAGCCGTGGAGAAAGCAACAGAAGGACTGGACATTGCCACTCTCCCGGATCCTGCCCAGCTAGTCCCGTAGCTGTACAGAAATGACAAAGGCAGAGGTAGGAGTGGACCTAGGCTTCAGGGACCTCAGCCTTCAGCTCATCTGAGACAAGCCCCCACAGGACCCACCTGTCCTTCCCTACCTGACAAATCTCCCCACGGGAGGCTTTCTCTGTGTGCTCCGTGGCGTGGAGGGTGTGATGTCCCTCAACATGACAGCTCCCCTGGGAGCAGGGAACCTGGTTTTTCCCAGAGAGGGCCCAGGTTGAGTCATGAGGATGCAGGGATCACAGTGAAGGACAAAGTAGATGTTATGGGCTATACTGTGTCTCCCCCAAAACTTATAAGTTGAAGTTTCAACCTCCAGCACCTAAAAATGTGACTATATTTGGACATAGGGTCTTTAAAAAGGTAATTCAGTTAAAACAAGGTCATTAGGGTGGACCCTAATCCATATGACTGGTGTCCTTATAAGAAGAGGAGATGAGGACATAGACATGCTTAGAGGGAAGACCACGTGAAGACACAGGGAACAGAGGACATCCGTTTATAGGCAAGGAGAGAGGCCTCAGAAAAAATCAACCCTGCAACACTTTGGTTTTGGACTTCCAGCCCCAAGACTGTAAGGAAATAAATTTCATTGTTTCAGCCACTCAGTCTGTGATGTAATGTCACGGCAGCTCCAGCGGCCTAATACAGTGGGTGAGAGAACAAGGGCAGGGCAGGGGCAGGGACAGCGAGAAGTCACCTCCTCCAGGAGGCCTCTCCTGACTTCCCCCACCAGGAAGTACTAGACACTCACTTCCCTAGGTCCTGTCATGAATGTCTGTCCCAGCATCTGGGACATTTATGAGCACCTCAGTGCTCTTCTGTTTCTAAGAATCTTCATTTACCAAATGGGGTGTCTTGAGATCAGACACATGTTGGATTGACTCCTGTGTCCCCATGTGAAACTCAGAGCCTAGAGCACGAGGCGTGTGGAGGTTTGACTGGATGAGCCATGTGTCTCTATAGGACCAAAACAGAGTCATTTCAGGAAGGGCGAGGGGAGGGGTAACATCTTACAAGTCTTACCCACTCATTCCTCAACTCCTCACCCCCTTTCTTGTGTGTTTTATGTTGCCTGAAGCTCCCACCATCAGCTTTAGCTTTGGGCATGGGTGTTCAAATCATAGCAGGTGTTACAAGTAAGCGCCACCCAAGTGTATGACAGAGGAACAAGGGGAGACTGGGAAGTGGACTCAGTCCTGGCGGGGCAGGAGGACGCACTGGGGGATGAAGGGCCAGTGTCCTCACCCAGGATCATGAAGAGGTGGGACTGAGAAACAGCAAAAAGAAAAAGCACGATGCCAGGTTAAATTTGAATTTCAGATGAACGAAAAAAAAATTTATCTGTGTGTAAGTATGTCCCGTGGACTATTAGGAACATATTTGTACTAAAAGGAAAAAGATTATTCACTGTTTATATGAAAGTCAACTTTAACCAGGTGCCCTGCATTTTATCTGGCGAGACCAGACCCCTCCAGACACCCTCCCACCTGATCACGCACCCCCACTGGGGGGCCCCATAAGAGGAGCTCACTCAAGACTTTCACTTCTGCTTCCTCAATGACCGGGGCCCAGAGGAGAGGGTCCACCGCCCCTCACCCACCCACAGCCAGGCCCCACGGCCAGACACAGGCCTTCCCCTCCTCTCTCACACAGGAGGCTCAGGAAAGAGCAGCTCAGCAAGCCCAAGGACAGGCAGGCTTCCCAGGAGTGACTGCCAGGACAAGCGGGCGAGGTGGGCAGGGATTAGAGAGAAACAGAGAGGGAGTCCTGTGGCCCCAGAACCGGAAGCTCATTTCATGCATCAGTCCCCAGAGCTCGGCTTCCGCCCCCGGCTTCCCCTTCTGCCCCAGCCCTGAGCACGGCTGGGGCATGAGCCTGTCTCAAGGCAGGTCCAGGTGCCTCCTGATGCCAAGATGCTGCTCCCAGTGCTGCTGTCCGTGCTGTTGGGCGGCGAGTGGGCTGAGGGCCAGGAGAGATCCAGGCTGGGGCTAACGGACACCAGATGGTGGCAGGCTTGGGATCCAGGATTCCAGCTGGAAGTGCCAGAGTTGGTGACAGTGCAGGAGGGCCTGTGTGTCCTGGTGCCCTGCACCGTCACCTACCCCAAAATTGCGTGGGTCGACTCTACCTCAGCTTACGGCTACTGGTTCAGAAAAGGGACCGAAAAGACCACTGCTGATCCAGTAGCCACAAACGAACCAAATACAAAGGTGCAAACGAGCACCCGGGACCGATTCCAGCTTGTTGGGAATCCCCACAACTACAGCTGCTCCTTAGTCATTCGAGATGCACGGAAGGAGGACACGGCAGCGTACTACTTTCGGGTGGAGAGAGGACCCTACGTGAAATACAATTTCAAGTCATTCTTTCTGAATGTGACAGGTATGGAATGTGGAGGAACCCCCTGCCTATCACACTGGGGAGGGACCTCCGGGGACGGGCCACAGGGCTGGGCAGAGAGGGCCCTCAGGGCACCCTCTGGAGTACTAGGGTAGTCCCTCTCTCTGTCCCAGCCCTGACTCAGAGGCCAGATGTCTACCTCCCAGAGACCCTGCAGCCCGAGCAGCCAGTGACAGTGATCTGTGTGTTTAACTGGGCCTATGAGGGGTGTCCGGCTCCGACTTTCTCCTGGAAGGGGGCTGTCCTCTCCTCCCAAGAAACCAAACCCACAGCCTCCTACTTCTCTGTGCTCAGCATCACACCAAGCCCCCAGGACCATGACACCAACCTCACCTGCCAAGTGGACTTCTCCAGAAAGGGTGTGAGCACACACAGGACCGTCCAAGTTAGCATAGCCTGTGAGTGTGTCATGGGACTCTGGGGTGTGCAGACAAGCCTGATGGACAGGGAGGTTGGGGAGCCCAGCCTGGGCACTTAGTGGCTCCGTGCTCAAGAACGTCCAAGGAGAAGAAGCCATGGTGTCCGGGATTCCGACTCAGCCCTGGGAGGTGGATGGGAATGGAACCTGGTCCTCTATCCACATGAGTGCGCTTTGGTGCTGGTTTGTCACTTGTCTTCCCTGGGAGAGTCACATTTTCTTTTCCTTGAGGGTATTCTTTCTGGTTGTGGACAGCAAACCCAAAGCTAGCTCACAATCTTGTTGCAGATGCTCCCAAAGACCTTGTTCTCAGCGTATCCCGTGATAACGCATCAGGTACTGAGGGCCTATGGGGTGGGGCTGGGCCAGTCCTCTTTGGGGGATGAAAAGGTTTCTGTGGGTGAGAGAGATGAGCTCCTGTCTGCAGCCCCCCCCTCTCTCTCTATCTCTCTCTCCCTGCTCG